TTTTTTTTAAATTTTTTTTAACCTTTATTTATTTTTGAGACAGAGAGAGACAGAGCATGAATGGGGGAGGGTTAGAGAGAGGGAGATACAGAATCTGAAACAGGCTCCAGGCTCTGAGCCGTCAGCACAGAGCCCGACGCGGGGCTCGAACTCACGGACCGCGAGATCATGACCTGAGCCGAAGTCGGAAGCTTAACCGACTGAGCCATCCAGGCTCCCCCCAACAACATGTTTTAACAAGCTCTTCCAGCGAGTCTAATGCACACAAGTTTGAAAATCATAGATTTAGGGTAAAGTCAGCTTTGCAGTTCATCAAAAAGTCATGGTCTGAGTCCTTAACTGTTAGGCATCAGAATACAAATGAAAATTGTTAATCTACTGAATTTATCTGCCAGGCACTCTCCAATGTTATCTTCCAGACTGCCCACAACTCCATGAGATGGTTGCTTGCGTCCGTGTTTTGTAGAGGAGGAGGGTGTTAAGCCGCAGTCGGATTCATTCCCACAAGGAAATCAAACGTGTTTTTAGGAGAATATTTTATACAAAAGCCCGATTGCGCAGAGGACGAGTAAGGGCTACCAGAACAACCAGCGGGAGCTCCCTGAGGACCTACCTATCACAAACTCTTGTCTCTAGCACCCTCAGCCCCCCAGGCCTCGTGCACCAGGGTATTGAGCCCAGCTCTCACCGCGCCACCAAGTCGCAGGCGCCGGTTGGGACAAGCGTTACCGTGGAGACAGGCGCGTGGGGCAGGCAGGTCTCGGGAGAGGCGGAAGTAGGTTGTGGAAGTGTGGGCGGCCATTTTGAAACCGGGCAAGAGGGGCGGGACTGGAGCGGCCAAGTGACGGTTGACCGGTTTTAACTAAGTGACTGGTACCGCGGGGCGGTGAGAAGAGGGAGGTGCCTGGGGCCACCCCAGGGAGGGATGCGGGGGGCGGGGGGCGGAGAGAAGGGGAGGGAGGGGGGAGGCGAGAAGGGGAGAGGCAAAGCAAGGGGAGGGGAGTCCAGGGACCGAGCATCGGAGGG